TCTTCTGTGCCAAAGGCACAGTTTTTGATTGTTTTTTTTTTTTTTTTTTGATACTTGCATAGCATTTCAACGTCTGATGAGTGCAAAACAGATAGCTACCCTCCCTCTCTTGCTTTACTTTTGCCCCGGCTTTCTCTCTGGTCAGTATGCTAGCAGACTTGTCGCTCAAGCACTTTATCAGCGTTGACCGTTTTGAATAGAATCATAAGGCTAAAAACTGAATTTTCAGCACCTCCAAAATTTAGTGCAGTTAATCTGGAACGGCATATCGTCCTCGACCGTTTGGCACAGGTTTGCTGCAATGTGACAGAATCAAATCCTCCAGCAACACATTTTCGGTACCTGAGGGACAGTGAACAACTGGCAAACGACACAAATCATATAATTTTGGTAGACGCATCAAATCAGAGCAGCTGCCTTAAGGTACGTATACCGGATCAAATTTTTAAAATTCCTGATGAATAGCATAGCAGTCGCTTAACCAAAAAAATTTCTCATTTACTGAAATGTTAGCGGTTTTTTTTTGTTAAAAAATTCTGTTTTTGGTGAAAGGAATTTGACGTTGTAGATTCTGCGGCCGACCGAAAATGACTTGGGAGAATATCAGTGTGAGGTGAGCAATGGAAAGTCAAAATCTCATCAAATGGTTATCGTCAAGGAAGCAAGTAAGTTACGTTGCTGCAATTCATTTGATTCAAATTACGTCGTTATTTTCGGGCAATCTACCGTAATTAAAAATTATCTGGTGAGCCAGTGACATATCGTAGTACATCTGCTTTCTGAACACTGAGAAAAAATTTTTTTGCCCGATACGGTAGCTTTATGGGCCAGTCTTGCGACTATGGTAGCACTAAATTCTCGGCACTACGATGCGCTGAAAAGATGTGTCAACAGGCATTCACACTGGCAACAAACACGTCTGATTCACATTACAGCACCACCGGGTGAAGTTCACGTATCATTGCAAGATGTTGGAATGACGTACGTTGTTTGGAAAATTGATGAAGGAACTGACGAGCAATTGCCAATACGTTCATACATCATCGAATATATCAAAAAATCTATTTTAGATCAAGTTTGTCTGCATATACAGTAATCTCACTTGACAATTTGTAAAATCCGTAATTTCTGCTAGCTTGGAAACAGCCGGTTTGCTGCACCAGAATCTGTATATGGCTTAGGACAGTAACGAGACAAAAATTGGCGTAGTGGGGGAATAGTGGAGAAAAAGACTGGAATTAAGTGTCATGTATAAGAGAACATTTCATGATGCAGTCTGTGTTTCATCCCCAAGCTGTA